TTGATTGATTGATTGATTGATTGATTGATTGATTGATTGATTGATTGGTTAGTTGATTGGTTGGGCGGTTGGTTCGTTGGTTGGTTGGTTGGTTGGTTGGTTGATTGATTGATTGATTGGTTGATTTATTGGTTGGTTGATTGGTTGGTTGGTTGGTTGGTTGGTTGGTTGGTTGATTTATTGGTTGGTTGATTTACTGGTTGGTTGGTTGGTTGATTGATTTATTGATTGATTTATTGATTGATTGATTGATAAGGCTGGTCGCCGTCTGTTTCCCTTTGACTGGCCCTTATGATCTCCTGTTAGTTATAATGGATAATACAAAGTACCACAAATAATTCAGGCCACTGAACAATGTCATTTGTGAGACTTGAAAACTGCTCACTCTATTACCTTCTCAGTTCACCAGCATGTTGATATCATAAGTTTCTACAATGACTTCCGTGTTTCATGTCCATGTTCCTAAAGAGGTTTTTGGGTCAGGCTGAAACATGCTTTAATCGTCAGCTGGTTAAAGCAGGAGCCAATGAAAAACCATCCGTCTTTTACAGAATGCTGAACTTCCTTCTGTAAACTTCCCTCTTTGTAAGTACTCTTAGTATCTATCTGTCATGAAGGCTACCAGGAGGGCAAATTCATGACGAGGAAGGCAACATGTGGGTCTTCATGTGTTTGAATGCAATATGGTGGACCAGTAACAAAACAGACAAAACATCTAAATGGGAATTCTCTTTTAATGAGATCAAAGTGAGCACCTGTTTTAATGATCCCAAACATTTAAAATAGCACATCGCAGCAATTTCCAATTTCAGCCTCATGCACTATTTTCTGTCTCATGAACTAACCCGGTGAATCATCTGGTTAAGTTCTTCTTGTGACTCATTTGGGATTTACAGTAGTCCTAAAACCCCCCATCGCCTGTTCCAGCCGCATGGAGGAGTTTTTTTCACAGAGTGGGAGGTGCTTGGGTCTTATCCACCACTTATTTTGACCTATGTATATATACATATAGTTTTTATGTATATATCTACCTGTATTATATGAGGAATTTTGTGTATGTATGTATATATATACACTATATTGCCAAAAGTATTTGCTCACCCATCCAAATTATCGGAATCAGGTGTTCCAATCACTTCCATGGCCACAGGTGTATAAATTCAAGCACCTAGGCATGCAGACTGTTTTTACAAACATTTGTGAAAGAATGGGTCGCTCTCAGGAGCTCAGTGAATTCCAGCGTGGAACTGTGATAGGATGCCACCTGTGCAACAAATCCAGTCGTGAAATTTCCTCGCTCCTAAATATTCCACAGTCAACTGTCAGCTGTATTATAAGAAAATGGAAGTGTTTGGGAACGACAGCAACTCAGCCACGAAGTGGTAGGCCACGTAAACTGACGGAGCGGGGTCAGCGGATGCTGACGCGCATAGTGCGAAGAGGTCGCCAACTTTCTGCAGAGTCAATCACTACAGACCTCCAAACTTCATGTGGCCTTCAGATTAGCTCAAGAACAGTGCGCAGAGAGCTTCATGGAATGGGTTTCCATGGTCGAGCAGCTGCATCCAAGCCATACATCACCAAGTGCAATGCAAAGCGTCGGATGCGGTGGTGTAAAGCACGCCGCCACTGGACTCTAGAGCAGTGGAGACGCGTTCTCTGGAGTGACGAATCGCGCTTCTCCATCTGGCAATCTGATGGACGGGTCTGGGTTTGGCGGTTGCCAGGAGAACGGTACTTGTCTGACTGCATTGTGCCAAGTGTAAAGTTTGGTGGAGGGGGGATTATGGTGTGGGGTTGTTTTTCAGGAGCTGGGCTTGGCCCCTTAGTTCCAGTGAAAGGAACTCTGAATGCTTCAGCATACCAAGACATTTTGGACAATTCCATGCTCCCAACTTTGTGGGAACAGTTTGGAGCTGGCCCCTTCCTCTTCCAACATGACTGTGCACCAGTGCACAAAGCAAGGTCCATAAAGACATGGATGACAGAGTCTGGTGTGGATGAACTTGACTGGCCTGCACAGAGTCCTGACCTCAACCCGATAGAACACCTTTGGGATGAATTAGAGCGGAGACTGAGAGCCAGGCCTTCTCGTCCAACATCAGTGTGCGACCTCACAAATGCGCTTCTGGAAGAATGGTCAAAAATTCCCATAAACACACTCCTAAACCTTGTGGACAGCCTTCCCAGAAGAGTTGAAGCTGTTCTAGCTGCAAAGGGTGGACCGACGTCATATTGAACCCTATGGATTAGGAACGGGATGTCACTTAAGCTCATATGTGAGTCAAGGCAGGTGAGCAAATACTTTTGGCAATATAGTGTATATGTACACACATGTATATATGTATATGCCGCTGTTTTATTTATGGAGCCATTAACAAAATAATTTCCCTCTGGGATTATTAAAGTATTTCTGATTCTGATTCTGATTCTGATGTTTGTGGGTCTCCATGTTTGTGAGTCAGCTCAGCCATGTGGGTCTTCATGTTTCTCCTTCAGTCGGAGTAGCATCCGCTGTAAAGCTAACAGCGCTGTGCATTCAGGCTTCTGTTAGCCCCATTCAAGAGTACAAACATGACATATATTGGTCACAAGCAAAGTAAATCAACTGGGTCTATTCACAGAAAAAGCTCCCGGAGGATCTCAGTTTGCAAAGAGCCTCAATTTAGGCTTTTAGTTCTCCTCTGGGCCTCAAACAAGAGGACGGCTGGACGTAATCGAGTGTTATTGGCCAGTTAGCTCTGACCTGAACAGGCCAGGTCCTAATTCATGCAGGTTTTGGTGGAATGTGATAAGAAAGTGTGAATGTTGACCTCGAATACGAGTATCTACTGTAACAGAAAAGGGAAGGAG